TCAAACTCACCGTCAGATCACATGTCTGTGGCCACAGCATGAACCACAAAAATCACACATCCACTGTTTCATTTAGAATATTTTTTTCTTGTTTGTTATGGTCAGGTGTGTGTTATAGAGAGAAAAATACGGTAGCTATTTTGTGTAGCTGAATTCAAGGTGGTGTTGCATTTGCCCCTCTGCATTCTCATTTTAATTCTTTAAGAGCTTTCAAATAATTACATTTTAATAAGACCTCTAGAGAGGCCAATGGTGCAACCCATCCCCCGCAACTGAGGATCATGCTGTAAGATGGAGTGCAATTTCCGCTTTTGAAACTCCCCCCCCCCCCTGAAGTCGAAACAGATCTTGACTTCAAAGGATTATCACACTCAGTAAAAACATAAAGGACATAAATTGGAACCATCTCCAGCAAGGCAGGAAATGGCTTTCATCACTACTATGGTTTCAGGGGTGCAGCAGCTCCTGTTCTTGAAGCAGAAACATTTCTCTCCCCCCCCCCACCAAGAAATGAACTTAGGTTCTAGGGAAATAAACACCAGGGGGCAGACAAAAGAACAGGCACATTTTGGGAGCAGAAGTATTTGCATATTGTATAAACCTATATAGTACAGTGAAGCCAGCTTAGTATTTTCAGGTCACCAGGGAAGCACAAGACGTTGCCTCTGCCTTAACCAGAAAAACATGATCGCCAGAAAACAGCACTTGGTTATAGCAGATGTCCAAAAAAGGGATGGCATTTCAAAGGAGCTGCCTGAAAAGGCAAATTCCTGCCCAGTCCAGCACCAATCTGTATGTCTTTAGACAGAAAGCTCAAATGGTGGCGCAAGGAAACCGGAAGCTTGACAACTCCTCTCATGTACTTACTTGTGCTATCAATCGTCCTTCAAGCAATATTCTGGAGCCATGAAGTATGAATGAGTGGGAAGAAATGCAGTTATAAAAGTTTTGCCCAAAACTGCCATGAGATTTAAAATGCATACCTCATGACTAGGGCTGTGCACAAGAAAAAAAAATGGCCTTGGAACCCACCTCTCATTGGCTCGGACTGGGGGTTGCCTCGGCTTGGTGGCTTGGCTTAACATCGCAGTTCGCCTCGGATCCAAGGCAGAGGGTCGCCTCGCCTCATTTTCCGAAGCACCCGATGTCTTCCCCATTGACTACAAGGGGAAAATCAAGAAGACCTATATTTTGGCAGAATTGGATGACATTTCCATTGTAGTCTATTCTGAGGGGATGAAGCCTACCAAACCGAGGGTGGTGGTTCTTTAAAGAAAAAAAAGAGGTGTCATGCCAGTCCCTGTGGTTTTGTGGGTGTAGAGGTGCCCTTGCACCAAAGTCACAGGAAGTGGAAAGCTGAAGAAAAAAGGGCTGATGTGAGCATGAGGCAAAACTTGCATGTCTAGCATTCCAAGTGAGCAGCAAGGCCCACAACCCCACCCCCACCCCCAGTCCTGGCATAAGAGGAAGGCAGGAAGAGAAACAGCAATGCATGCACCTTTACCAGCAAGCCTGATAAGAGGAAGGCAGGCAAGGGGGCTAGCAGACACTTCTGGAGACAATGAGAAAGAGACAGAGGAAGGAGCAAGGCACATGCCTTCACAAGGCACATTCCTCGAATCAGTGTGGAGACACCATGCTGGAGCAGAGTAACTGCTTCAAGTTCGGAGCTGACATAGCGCACTGAAAGAACGGCAGGCAGAGGCAGCAGAAGACAAAGGGAACACTGAGTCTGGCATGTAAGACCTGGCATGTTCAGTGTGCCAATCACCAAGCCCCACAAAACAATTCTTGCACAAGGTAGAAAATATTCCAACAACTAGAGCATATATGTTGGGACCTGCACCAGTGCAGAGTGTGCTGGAGTCAACACTTACCTCCCTGCCCCAAGCACCCAACACTGGCAGTGATGCTGCTGAAATCACTAATTTCACCGCCATGTTTTCACTTGCAGGCCAACCCAGCAGTGACACTGTAACAGGCAAGGAGCAGAGCAGCTGTTTGGCTCCCAACATGCTACAGTGCTGTTGTCACTGGATAAGCCAGCAAGTGAATTGTGGTGGGAGAATAGTAGCCCATTACATTGTGGCTGCTGCTGTTGCTGCACATACATCCTGACTTGTGAACTTGAGGGGGAAAGATGCAAAAACTCCACCCCAAAACTAGAGAAAGAATCAACAAGCTGAAATGCCTTTATCAAGTGCACTAGAGAAATGCAGCAACAGTGTGAGGGCGGCACTCCCTTGCTGGGATGCTCAGGTGGGGAATTCTTCCTATATCCCTCCCCAAAGTATTGTGATTGGAAGTAAAAGAAGGAGCCTGCCTGGTAAAATTTCCTAATTGGAAGCTAGAGCGCTCAGTTGTAAAACTCTTCTGCCTGCCTGCCTTCTCACTTGCATGTCATCTTCTATTGATAAAGAGATTGAGGAAGGTTACAAAATTATATCAAACACATTTGAAGCCCTCTGAGGTGATTCCAATGACTTGGGTGCCCACCTCAGATCCCAAGGGGGTCCAAATATCCCGGAGGTAGGGATCCTCAGCATGGATGAGGCACAAGTCTGAGGTGAATGCACAGCTCCACTTATGCCTTTTTTATACAATTGTCAGCTACACATTTTGACCTGCACAGTGTTTCAGAGTAAAAGAGAATCTGTATACCAAAGTGAATTTTATTTAACATTAGCAGGAATGATTCTGTGAGATACTATAACCAGTGGAAGGCAAAAGTAAGTCTGACCCACTAGGCATTTTGTATTTCAAGGCCAGAGACCTTAATGTATTACTGGCAAAAACAAAGCATACAAGCCTTAGTTATAATCAAACTGTGTACAGACACACAGAGTGAACAGTCTGCTTGTAACACTAAGCCAAACCATAGCTAAATGTGGATAAGAAAGTGTGCAGGGACACAGAGCAAAAATCAGCACCACTTCTTTCCACTCCTGGTTCTATTGGTGCCACTCTACCTGGAACTAAGCTGTTGTTTGGCTTAGTGTTACGTATGAATGCAGGCTCACAGGTTGTCTTCTGCAAACAAACCATGCACGGTAAGCCAAAAGGAACCTTGGCGACAGCTTGTGGTTTGTTTGGAGACATGGAAAAACTATAACTGACTGCATTTTCCCAGACAATGTACAGGCAGTGGCTTCTCTATGTCCATATTGCAATTTTACATGCAGGTGCTGTGCAATAACAGATTCTGTTGTTTCTGTTTTCTTTTACCATTCATAACATTTACTAATAGCTTTCCCATTTAGAAACCTAAAGCATTGGATGCATTTATACAGTAAGAACTAGTTTGGCAAAGACATGGTTTTTGGCATGTTGCAGCAGTGGGTGCTTCTCTTAGGCAGCAATCATATTTTACACACAAGTAATCCCAACTGAGCTCAATGGGACCAACCACTGAGTAGACATGCACAGTACTGCGTGGCCAGGGCTTGTGTCCACTTTTGCTTCTAACCCCTATGGCAAGAGCACCAAGAAAAAAATCCCTTCTTTCATCAGGAAAAGCCACTCTCCAAATTGTGTCTGAAGTGATGTCACTAAAGCAGGGGTGAACTTCTGCATACTTGGTGGCCACTGTATTTCTAACAGTTGGCTGAGGACTGAGAGCACACGTTGCTACATAAACTGATACCCTCACCCTGCTTCATAATAAAATGGTATCACCCTAAAGGAGTAAGAGCCTCAGAGTTATGAAGCATACAAACTCAGGAGGCATTTGCAAGGCACTGCATACAAAATTAAAGAGAAAATGCAACATGAAACTGTGGAGTGTTTATCTTGCAAGCTGGGAAACATTTCTATTTTCCATGCAAGTGAAGTTTTGGGCAGACTTTTTAGCACACTTTAAATTTTGGTATATCCACCAACTCCCTATCACCAAGCACTACCTGATCAACTAATCCCCAAGAAGGCTGTGGAAGTCCTAAACCATTGCCTGCATGCAGAGATGGATTAGATGTGGGGCAACAAACTGAGGCTCAATCCAAGCCAATGGTTCTGGTAGTCAGCAATCTTATCTGGACTACAGCCTGCTTCGGACAGGGATGCACTCTTTTCCACAACTTGTGTGCTTTACTGGATTTGGCATTGGTCCTTGATTACCCAGTTGCTGCTACGGCTAGGAATGCCTTTGACTGGTGCACTCTTTCTGCAGCTGTGCCCCTTTCTGCAGAAGATGGATCTGGCTATAGTGATGCATGCTTCAGCCAGTTGCCATTTAGTTTACTGCAGCATGAACTGGGTGGGGCTGTGGGGTTTGGAAACTGTAGCTGGTGCAAAATACTGCAGCCAAATTGCTTTCTGATGTGCACGGCACAGACCACATTCACTCTGTTTTATACCAACTGCATTGGCTTCTGATATGCTTCTGGACACAAATCAAGATGCTGGTGCTAACCTCTAAAGCCTTAGATGGCTTGAGGCAGGATATCTGAAAAGCCATCTCTTCCCATAGGAGTGTACAATCTTCTTCTAAGGCCCTGCGGCATGGTTCCACTGCCTAAAGAGGTGGCTACAGGAGACAGGGCCTTTTTTGTGGCAGTAGCAAAATGGTGGCCCTCTCACCCAAGGGAGGTGAAAATGGCTTCTCTCTACTTATTTTCAGGGAGGCAGTAAAACGGTTTCCAATCTGCATGGCTCTGAATTTTTAGTATGTAGAGGTTTTAATGTGTTTTCTTTTCTGTTCTTAATCTGGTTTATAGCCTAAATCTGTTTTTGTTTTTGAATACCATCATGAGAGCCCTGTAGGGATGAAAGACAGCTTATAAATATTTTTATGAATAAATAAATTCCCAATAGCTAGTAGTAGTGTGCATGCATGAATGGTTAATCCAATACCAACCTTTTAACAATGACTTACACTATTCTAATATTTTCTGAGGGGCACCTGTTAATCTTTTGCAGCAAAAAACTCCAGCAGAGTCATGTGACAATCCAAAATTATGCTACTATGTACAGAAGGCAGAAAATAAATGAAGAATTGTTCATACCTTCATCTCCTCCTCCATTTCTGAGAGCTTCCGCTCAAGAGCTCGTTTCTCCTGTTTAAAAAATATTGTCACAATTACCATTTTTTGTGTAATTTTTCTACATGAAAATGTACGCTATGGCTTTATTTCCCTCAGTGAAGAAAAATGTATCATTAATAGCATTAATAAGGTTGTCAAACATCACAAGGCCTACACTAAGAACAAACAATGTCAAAAAACCTCTTCTTGGTGTGTTCCCACAGCTCATCTCCAACCTCTGCACCAGAGATAGAGGAACAGATGTTTTTGATCTTCAACTCACTTAGCCCTAGAGAGCATGGCCAATGGTCAGAGATAAGAGGAGTTGTAATCCAGAATTTTAAGGGTCACCTGTGCTCTATACAGGCCCTTTTGCTGTTTCTTCCTGGCCACAACTACCTATCAGCTCCTTTCACCTCACAGACAATCCATTGTCTTGTCATTAGCTTGATAGGAGCCAGTGGGGTCATTGAAAAGAGCACAGTTTTCAGCCCCAGCCTATGGATAGTGGACAGTTTGACTTGCACCCTGAGGATACTTAATTTAGCTAGTTTGAAAGTTGCGTACTGGACGTACCATTTTCCAAACAAACAAAACTGGCATAGCACCATCTTACTACAGCAGATAGGTGGTGTCCCAAGTTACTCTCTCTTATTTATCCTCTGGCTGAGAGCTCTGAGTGCAAAGAAAGCACCTCTTTAAAAAGAACACACACACCATATTGGAAAGTGTTAGACAAGAAGGCAAGAATCAATGGCATTGAGCCAGGATGGCTAGAGGAAACCTCTATGTTCCAAGGCAAGAGGTACTGAATACCAGTTGTTGGGGGATAATAACAAGGGGCAATTGCTTTCATGGCAGTAGCACACCTGATCCACTTTGCTGCTAAGCACCAAGATGAAAAACGGGAGTGAGGAGGTGATTGTAAGGTTGGTAAAGTGCAAACACACCAACGAAGCCAACCCAATGCTCCTGCAATGCATGCAACCAGAAGCCAGGTGAGTGCTGCTTTCACTGAACTGTGGGCTACGAATAACTCCAACCTCAATTGTACCTCTCATGCTACATCTTACAAAGCTCTGTTTTAGTGTCTGCATTAAAAAACAACAACCCAAATGCAATATTTTCAGGAAAAAACAAGCAAATAATAAACAAAATCAAAACGGGGCACTGAAACCACAAACAATTTACTGTTTTCCAAGGAAAGTATTAGGAAGGTATTTTAAGAACTTACATGCCAATAAGCCCAAGAAGAAACAGAGCTTTGTACTGGATAAAGGGAATTCAGTAGCACAAACATAATATGCTTACATACTAAGCTTGTTATGTGTTCATCTTTAGATTTAAACTTTGCTGGAATTTAAGTATTTTTGGTACTCATCTTCGTAAGAAACTTGCACATTTTAAATAATTGTAACACAATGAGTTAGCGTATTTTGATAACTTATGATAAAATTGACTCTATTCGATCTCATGTTTTCAAAATATAACCACAATCAATGGAATGTCTCTAATCAACTATATGACATCAACAGCCATACTAGAACAGTAAGTTCTGGGCTTCATTAGTGGTGATTTATCAAACTGTGTATCTTATTATGCCAGGATGCTGAAATGAACAGTTTTATAGTTAACAAAAATATTGTAAACAAGTATGAGAAGCCAAGGAGATCAGGATTACCCAAGGATTCTTGAAGGAGGAACAGAATCAGCTTCCTGTAGTGATATTTCTCTTTTAAAATGAGTATGCATTCCAAAACCATGCTAAGTTTTAAGTAAGTGGACACCAAAAAGCAGAAACACATACCCTCTTTTCCATCTCAAGCATACTCGAACGGTCAGAGGTTTTTTCTTGCTTCTGCTATTGAAATGAAAAACCAAAGTTATCACAAAAGTAGAAAGTACTACAAAGAAATCCTTTCCAAATAAAATCAGAATTCTTAAGAAACCAAGCGATATAACATTACAGCACAACTGCTTCTATTTTATCATTTGTCTGAGAAGCAGTGATAGCCCTCCTTCAAATGCTATTAACTCCTTATCACCAGGGCCAAACATTTGTTTCTGTCTGGCTGCAATTCCAGTACATCCCTTGTTTCCTAGGTCTCTTCACCTGGGCTATTTTGTCAATTTTTGTCTTGATATCGACGAGCTCCAACTGAGCATCTTGCAGTTTTGATTTCAGCTTTTGATTTTCAGACAGGGCACTTTCATAGAGCTGGATAGAAAAAAGAGAAGTGGAGTTAACTCACAGTATCATCTACTGAAACATCAACACTCATATAATGCAGTTACAGAAGAAGTTCTGAAGAAGTGTGCATGCACATGAAAGCTCATACCAAGAACTAACTTAGTTGGTCTTTAAGGTGCTACTGGAAGGAATTTTTTTTTCATATAATGCAGTTAAATAGATGCCCCTCCTGCTGCTTTCAGACCCTGGAGACCAGATTTTACCGCAGCCGTATTAAATGTAAATCATTATCTTCATTTATTGTAGAATAGGAAGTTAAAAAACCAATGCACAAAAATCCTCATGCAAACTCATGCGTATATTTACTTTAAAAACAACAACTCTCTTCCAGGGGAACCCTAGTGCTCCTTGGAAACTTATCAGGTATTCCTGAATTAGAAGACTGGTAATGGCAAACAGGTTTCTCTAAAAGAAGCTGAACAACTGATCCTGCCCGGCCTCAAGAGAGATCTAATCATTATTCCAGAGTACATCCTTTCCGTTCATGTGAAATGAAAGCAAGCTTCAATAGCGCTCCAAAGAAGAACCTGAAAATATGCCACGCTCAAGGATTCCATGTAGGCAAATCCACCAAGGAAAGGGTCCCCTAAACGTGTGAATGCCACTACTCTGTTAACTCAATGAATCCTAATCTGAAGTGATGCACAGCACTCCATTCAGGTCACTCCTACTGCCTATTTAATATTACTACTAATATTAAAGCATATTTTGTGTGGCAACTGCTACAAATAGAAGCAAATCCGTTCCTGCCCCAGCACCAACTCAACAAGCAATTGCACCAGGTGGCACTGTGCACTTTCTGCTCCATAACATGCAAAATGGCAGAACATATTTTAGCAAGTGAAATAACACAGATCTTCCAAGTGAACTATTCAGAAAGTTGGATGTCTTTCCAGAGATCTGCATGACATCTCAAGTTTTACAGTGCAACAAATCCATGTTTTACAGATGCGAAAGATTGGTGACCTGACCAAGGCTGCTCAGCACACCTATGGAAGAGGCAGTGGGTAGAAACACAAATGTACCAGTGCCAAGTCCTGTTGAATGCTCTTAATTCTCCTCATTCAACTTGCTCTCTCAGTGGATCCTTATTTGTCTTTAGCAGGCTCTTTGTTGGGACTATGCTGTATTGGCATTTGTGCACATATATTTTTATTGTTTTCTTTTCTTTTCCAACAGAGTCTAGCTTTACGTGAAATTGCTGCTTATTTGATTAATGAGGGGAGGGGGTGGGGAAGAAAGAAGACCTGAAGGCATGTCCATTTCAATTACTCACTCGTTTATAATCCTTGCTACTGTCATCCTCTGTCCTGCTGCTGAGGGCAGCCAGGCGATTCTCTCTTCTGGTGTAGGCACTGCGACCAGAGGGCCGGTCCCCATAGGCATCGCTGGTGCCAGTACTTGAGCTTGCTGCGTCCAACCTGGCATCAAACATGATATAAAAACAGCTTAATTCACTTTAAGACCACTTACAGACTTGTATCTTTCTCAATCACTATTTTTCAAGGTTTTAGTGTTTGGGTAATTTGGGGGGGGGGAATTAGGAGAGTTGCAGAGAGATACCCTATTATATGTGACAAAAAAGTGTTCCCCAATAAATACTTTCCTCTAACTCAAATGTGTGGGAAAGATAAAGGGGGCGGAATCTTCAAGTAAATAGAAATATATTTATATCCTTTTGCTGCTCACTGTTAAAACAAACTTGGTTTGGGGAAAGGAAAGCGAGTTCATATTATGTAAGGGGTGCCTACTAAGTCACTGACAAGTTATGAGGATTCCTGATTCTAGCTTCATAAGCAGTTTAGAGAAAAATGCTGGGAAGAAACATATAGAAATGTATGCTTTAAGAAAAGCAGATATTCTGAATAGCTTACCTGGAAAGCCTCTCATGCTATAAGAGGGAGAAAAAAGAAAACACGATTAGCAACAAAACAAAGATACCAGTGTTCACAGCTACTGAAGCCCGACAATTGTGAAAGCGATTGACAAGTGACTGCACTATAAATCCAATGGGGTGAAATTGCTGCACCTTGTCTATAGGTTCATTTGAACCAACTTAAATAAATTGAAAAACATTCAAGGCCAAGGGAAAATCCTGTTGTAAATATACATACAATCTCCATAATTTTTTTACACACAGTTTACATGAAGGGGACCTTTATTACTGTCCTACACTAAAGTGTGTGTGTGTGTGTGTGTGTGTGTGTGTGTATTAATATATGTGATATATAAAAACTGGTATATGTGAAGTTCTGTTCTGAAGAATTGCATGTATTGTGAATTAAAGCCATTTCATGAAGATGAGCTCTCATCATCCTTACATGGATAAATGCAATAAGTGGATTCATATTCATCCAAGTAATCCACACAATAAGGGTGAGTGGAGCATTCATAACTAGACATACACACTATTTTTGTAATAATAATAATAATAATAATAATAATAATAATAATAATAATAATAATAATAATACCCCGCCCATCTGGCTGGCTTGCAACATATCTAAAAACATAATAAAAACATAAATCCTGACAATCTTCCATAAACAGGGCTGCAATATCAAAGCTTACAGAAGAAGTGTGTGCCTCAGAACCTGTCCAAAGATGAGAAAAACAAAACTGTGTCAGAAGCAGCAACTTCTACACATGGCATAGAGGGTTCCAAAGGATTTGGTGAAAGGGTTTGAAATGTTTGTGTAATAGCAGTTTTGTGACTTGACAGATGGGGAAATATATTTATACTGTTCGGAAATGAGTTGTTGTGAGTGCAGAAGCATCCATCACGGCTATCAGACTTGCATCTGATCAAAAGGTTAGAGTTGTCAAACTAACATCTTTAGTGTCCCATTGATTATACCCTGGAAGCACTATAAATACTCAGAATACTTAGCAATGCCTATAAATAGCTTGTTTCCCTTCTTGCTTAGGTCTGTGAGTTTACATATTTATTAGTGTAATGTTAATAGAGGTTTGTGATTGATTAAGTTCCATGTGAGAGCATGATCCAAATCTTAATTGAATAATTCCATTAGAACTCAGGAAGGAAAGGGTGAACCTTGGTTTTGTCTTCTTGGTTTACATTCCCACAACCACAATGCTGAGATTTGTGAACACAGCCTTCTTTTTCTATGTTCATTTAGAGGTCTTTTAAATGAAAAGCACTAAGCTTAATACTAATCCCAAATATGATCTATTACATGTTGGTGTGCAACATGTGATAGATCATATTTGCTAGCTGCTAGTCCTGATGCATTTGACTTGTTAGAGTGTTGTTACATTTTGAAATAATTTAGTATTTGATTGCTATAATGACACATTAAGTAACATTTTTGCTGTTCTGTTGTGAGCAGCTTTGAGCACATTCATATGGAAAAGCAACAGACAAATTTAAACAAAAAAATAATAAATACTCTTCTCTGAGGCGGGCCATTATTTTTTCTATTTTGCATACTGGGAAATTTGAAGCCGAGGCACAACTTGCTCATGGTTTCCTCACGAGTCTGACCGAAAAAGCTGTCTGACCGAAAAAACTTAGATATCCTAAGTTCAGTATCACCATTCGTCCATATTGGGCCATAGTAACTCTTAGGACCATCATAAAATACTCCTAATTTAGAAGTTAAATCTAGTTTTATAGGCACTTCTAAAGATTGTATTTATTTTAACTAGCAATTTGTTATGAAAGTCCCCAAGTGTTGATGTACTTTGCTTCCTAGAAATTCCCTATTGTGTACTTATTGGTCCAAAGTATTCATTTATTGCCACTTTCCCATTCGGAAGACTGCAAGAAAAGTCACTCATGTCAAAATTCATTTAGCACACTGTATATTCCTCTGCTAATCTCTTTTAATGACAGCTTTTCATACAAAGTCAAATTTGTAGACCTAATCCACTTTAAGATTAGCAGTACTACAATCTAAATATTTCTGTTTTAGAAAATGAAGAAACTCTCCAAACAGGTGAGAGAGGAGAAACAGGGATGTAAATAAAATAATAATAATAATAATAATAATAATAATAATAATAATAATAATAATTTTTTTTAATTTATACCCCACCCTCCCCAGCCAAGGCCGGGCTCATGTATGTATATGACAGAAATACATACATGTGTGTATTTTTTTTAAGTTACATTGCCGATTTGTGGGCAAGGGGAGGACTGTTTCGTACAAGTTTTAGTGAAGTACACCATGTATTCAAATAAAAGTGTGTCATGTATGAATCACTTCTAGCAAAATGAAAACCATAAACTGCAATTTCAATGAAGTCTAACTGAGACAATATATGGAATCTTTCTCCTAACAGAATCTCACCGGACCTTTGTCCAATTTCTGAGCATTCTAAGTGAAAACACTGTGGGGATAAAATGACAATTTTATGTCATAAAATGACATTCTAGCAGTTCTGACATGGTGTATGTAAAAGGTAAAGTAAGACCAGGCTGAACCCAGGAAACAGAATGTAATAATAATAATAATAAATTTTAAGCTAAAGGATGTAATTCTAACCACACTTTCTTGGAAGCAAGTTCCACTGAAGCAGTGGGACTTGTAACTGATGCATTGTCGAGTTACCCAAGTGAATAAAAACTTAACAAGTTACAGGAAGTGATTTGACATTTCAGATGTTGCTCCTTGGAAAGCTTAGACCTTTTCCAGTACTTGGAATCCTTGGATACGCTTGGCCTATTTGTATCCCACATAAACCAAGATTGCATGATTAAGTTTATGAAAACTAAGGTTGGGACAAAAGTGAACTTTCTCTGAGCAGCTGTGTTATGAATTTATTTAGAAAGCAAAGCCAACTCTTGACATTACTGCAGCTGTTGGTAATGGCTACATTTTAATCAAGGTTCCTAAGCAGTTCACATCATGCGGCCAGCACAACTGGCTACAAGCTTTCTTGGGAGAGAGGAAAAAATGATTGGCAAATGTTTTTCCCCCCTCTTGCGATGAGAAAAGAAACTCATTTCCTACTTCTTGAAGAAACTCACATTTAACAAATCCCAGCAAGAGCAACTGATATGAATACCACCCTATATAAACAACATGTATGGAGCTCAATTTCTCTCTCTCTCTCTTGAATAAGCTTAGGTAAAATGTACTACATAAATAGACATATGTGCAAACTACACTTTATGTGAATTTTAGAAATTAGAATTACATCATAAAGACCAGGGGTCGGCAACGTGCGGTCCATGGGCTGGATGTGGCCCACGAAGACCATTTTACCGGCCCACGAACCACCTCCAAACCGAGCCGCCCCCTCAGTGAGTCCCCCGTGTGCTGCGCTAAACCGGCGTAGAGGGGCGCAGGGACACACCGAGTGGCGCCAGAAAGCGCATCTGTGCACGCACAGATACCGGAAATCATTTCCAGCGTCTGGGCATGCACAGAAGTGAATTCCGGGGCACTGCGGACATGTGCAGATGCGATTTCCGGCGTCGCACTGTGCCGGTCCAGCCCACGGACGATCTCCACTGGAGGGACCCACCCCATGGCTGGTAACTGTGGCGTAGCGTGGGGGGGTGCAGGGGGGGCGGCCGCATCAGGCGCAAATCCACGGGTTAGGGGGCGCAAATCCACGGGTTAGGGGGCGCAAATTACTTGCCTTGCCCCGGGTGCTGACAACCCACGCTACGCCACTGGCTGCTAAGCCTTGCTGAACCCTGATAAAGACAATAATCTCCTATGCTTGGGTTTGTTTTTTAAGTGGAGGCAGGGGCACTTCCACTGTTCTTTCCCCCCTGCAAGATAGGTTATTGATGCTCTCCATCCCTGCCCCCCAATTCATGTATGCCCATGAAATACCTTGAATATGGGCATCCAATTTCTGTTTCTTGTCCTTCACCTCAATCACTCCTCCCCCTTTCCCTATTCTGGGCACATACATAAGTCTTTCTTCACTTGTGCATGCACTCCTTTACCAAAAGGCCCAAAGAAATCCCAAGAAGCATGCAAGAGTAAAAAAACCAAAGCCTTGGGTTCTCATGCTTCACAATGGACAAAATGGAGACACGAGCTCCTCCTAGCTGGGGTGTTGTAATTCAAAGCAGGCAGCAATCAGTAGTTATAGGCGTTGCTGTAAATGAAAAGGATTGTGCTCAGGTGAGGAGCAAATGCACACAGCCCTGTGACAGTAGAAGCCACCCACCACCCACATGATAAATCACCCATTAACAAATCTGCTGACAGGATTCCACACCAGCAATGATTGCATATGTTATACTTGCCAGATTTCTTACAGAATGGATAGATTTGGATTAAATGACTAAAGATGAAGAGATGGAATTTTGATGACACTGATGTCATATGAATGGTGCAAAGAAACAAAAAGCCCCAATGTGCATGTGTGAGTTTCAGAATTAATTCTCATGTGGAAATACCCTGAGAGAAAACTTCATAAAATTGGGCTTAGCTGACCTAACTGTGAACCTGTAGCAGCAGATAGTAAAATAAACAGAAAGGGGCAAATAAGTTGCTGCATGGCTTTTTCTTTTACCATACATACTTCATTTCTGTTTTTAATGTAGAAGAACAGGGTTAGGTATTGGCAATTATTCTGTGAATTTGGACAACAAAAGGATTGTAAAGAGCCAGGAAAAGCATAGAATTTTGATTGTAGATATATGCAGGATTATGGAACATTAGAGTCCTACTTTTAAACTCAAAAGGTTCTACAGATGGCATAAGTGTAATTAAAACCATGCTCCTTTTACAGCAATGCAATTTTAAAAGACTGAGGCATGAACAGCTGAAGTCTCCTGCCAAAAGAGAAACTGCCTTAATTGGCTGCAAATGCTTTCTTCTGTGGCCAACATCTGACCCCAAAAGGAAGGAAAGGGGAGGGAAAGTATGATATTTACATGTTTTGCAAACAAAAATGTTTCCA